TACGCATTCCACTGCAAATGGCCAAAAACATGGTGGTAGTCCGGCTTCTAGTAGGCACGTCGATGTGGTAAGCATCATGAACTGATTGTTTCTTTCGGCGAGTGAATTGTTCTGGGGATGTCCTGGAAGCGACTGGTCTAGTGGAATCCGAAGTTCCTTGAGTGCTACTTCGAATTGTGGCGCATCATCAGAGTAAGCGTTGGTGACCTTTCTCTTACCGATATAGTGCTTCATCGCCTGCACTACTTCGTCACTATTGCTTGCTTTCAATGGATAACCCCATATCATACCAGTAAACCGATCTCGAATCACCAATACATCCTTATCCGGCATGATCCCGTCTCTCGCCATCTTCTGGGTGTTCATGAGATCAAAGGTGATAAGGTCACCGAATGCCTTCAACTTTCGTTTGAAAGCTCCCTTGCTAGTCTTGTAGTGCTTCATCTTCGCTCTCACACATGACTTGCAGTATGGATTCTTATATCGGTGCGTCATCAGGTGCAATATGGATCTCGCCTCATTCTTCAGCACTCCGGGCTTTGACAGTCTAGCTTCTCCATCGACCACATCGACTTCCAATAACCCCTCTTCGTCTTCACCAATGTCACTCTCCTCTCGTTCAGAATCCGCATCACCTCCATGTTCGTCGTCTTCGGCTTCTTCAGGTTGGCCATCGAGGTCACGATTGATCCCCGGGTCTTCCCCGTCATATCCTTCTTCCGGAGAATATCCGTCATCACCGTGTTCCTCTGGTTCTCCTTCGTCGCCTACAACGGCTGGATTGATATCAGATTCATCACCCCGATCTCTCTGGTTATCTCTCTTCTTTCTCCTCCGTCTTCGATGTTTCTTAGGCGGAGGTTCCTCCTGTTGTATCTCCTGACCTGCTGTGGCCTCGTCCCCAAGCTCCACACCTGACAATATGCGATGAAGTATCGTGGCCAAGCCGTCTGATCTTGGTAAACATCTCCCGTCATCATCATTCACCTTGATGTAGGGTATGTTGTCATGCACTGATAGCGGGATCTTGTTCGCGTTTTGGTCGATGAGGTATGGCAAATGATTCGCCGGCCATATGAATGAATACCCTTGTTCCATGCACCGTTTCCCGATGGAGAAGACTGATGGTGTACTCTCCAACACGTGTGCCTCGGACATCATGGGTAGTTCGTCCACATTGATGTCCACCATCTCCGATGTACTAGTTACTCCATTCGCTGTCATGAAGCTCACGGATTTGGGTCCTTCCTTAGTGGTAAGGCCCATGGCGTTGACTTTCTCTCTTGAGATCAAGTCGTGCCCACATCCCGTGTCCATGATGAAGCGTATCGGTGGCCCGTCATACCTCTCCACGGCCATGAACATCGTATCTCCCGGTATCGTGTAGTTGACAGAATCTTTCCTTACTACCTCGCTGGTGTTGAAGTCAGACAGGTCGACGTTCACCTCGATTCCTTCATCTTGAGTGATTTGTATCCATGCCTTGGCAATGTGTTCAGCAGAGTATAGCTCCATCATCTTGCCTTTGGCATGCGCTACTCGTGCAGCTATGCTGTTCACTCTGAGGGTTCTCAACGACGAAATGATCTCGGTATCCACCTTCTGCACCTCGTCCTTCTTCTTCTTGAGGGGACGGGTATTTAGCTCGTTACCAGGATCGCAGGTAAATGTGGTCACATCCACCCGGTCATCGAATCTGACTTTAAAGCGAAGCGCCAATTTACCTTGCTGTACATTGGGAAGTGCGGGTTGCACGTCCTCTCCATCACTCTCGATGTCTCCGCAAAGCATGAAGGCTGGCGCAGCCGGTTTGGGCTTGGCTTTACCTTTAGCCTCTTGTTTCGTAGCAGGAGCAGCGTGATGCTGGCGACGACATTTGTCCCCGAACTTGCATGATCCTTTCTGCCAATTCCAACAGACCTGATCCTTCATTGGTTTAGGGCTAGTGCTCCTACCACCAGGACTCTTTGATCTGTCACCCTTGAGGTTTTCTGGTTTCTTAGCAGAACTCTTGTGCTTCTCTTGATGACTAAACTTGCATTTGTCTCCTCTAGAGCACCCGTTTTTTCCATAGAAGTGGAAGGCGCATCCTATCTTGGACGTATCTGCTGGAGTCGCTGACCTGCCACGATCTCCTTTTGGGCTCTTCGTGGTTGATCTTCCACGCTCCTGCTTCCTGTCCTTCTTGACGTGATCTTTCGGATTAGCCTGAGGAAGTACCGGAGCGGCGTCTTTCGGTGGATCGGCCTTGGTATTCTTGGGTTTCGCCTTAGGATCCTTCTTCTCCGCTGCTGGTGTGGCTTTCACGAGGTTCCCAAAGGCCTTTTCCCTCTCTTTCTTGTTTGTGGTCTCGATTGATTTCCGTATCCACTTCGCCATGATCTCTCGTAACTTCTGGTAGGTCTTATCCGGATCCTTGTCCAACATGTTATCGTACACGGACAAGTCTAACGCCATAACTTTGGAGTCCTTAATCTTATCCCATAGCAGGTTGCGGAGTGCTTTGTCAGGAAGCATATCATCCGCATCCATACCTGATATGATTTCATCCCACTGTCCAAGGAATCTGGATAGTTGATTATCTCCAGGGAACTTTAGGTCGAATAAGTGTTTGGATGCATACATCACATCGACGTTGTCGGCACTCCGGAAGCTATCGACGATTAACGCTAGCATTTCTCGTCCCTTAACCATTCCAGGAGTTGTGCCTCTCGCACGTCTCTGCATCATCTGCCTCACCTTCAATTGTACGTCATGAGATCTCTCACCTGCTGCGTGGATGATCGTATGTAGGGTGATGCCTAGCTTAGCATCTATGCTAGCGAATCTTGCTTCGCCTGATGTCTCGAGCAGAAATGGGTCATATGGTGATCTGAAGGCATCCGAGAGCCACTGGATCCAGTCTTCCTATCTTTCGTCGCCCGATGCCGTCACGACTGCCGCTACGACCTGAGATTTCCAAACCTCCAGGTCGTGTATCTTGGGCCATGCAGGGATGTTAATCTTCTCGTGTTCCTTCCGAGATATCTTGGAGCCACCCGAGCTAGAAGATGAAGCGGCACCATACTCGGTTGCGGCTGCATTCTCAGCGTTCGAGCGCTCCTCTTCGTATCTCCTCCGGTACTTATTCCTCTCATCTCTGAGCCGTGCTGCATGCGCTTCGAATTCCATCATGTCCTGCTGGTTCTGCATCATACCTTCGTAATATTCCATCGCCTCTTTCTCCTCGGACCTTAATGACTTTTCGGTACGTCCAAGTTCCGCTCTAAGCTTGGTCATCATCTCGTTCTCCACATTGCGTTCTGATCCCATGTCTTGTGGTTTCAACTCCAGTGCGACCTTCAGTTGTGCTTCACTTGCACTTGATTCGATCAATTCTTCCTGAAGACGTTTCAACATCCTCTCTTTTCGTAGAATGTCCTCCTCCAACATGTTCACCTTGACCTCGGCTTTCTTGAGTTCGGCGTTGGATGTTTGAGACGGTCGACCGGATCCTTGAATCCTCGCCTGTGCCACCTCTTCGTTCGCCCTCTTCAATTGCTCCCTGATGGTCATGATGAAATTGTCCTGATTATAAGATCGGTTGTTGAGCTCCTCATTCTCTTCTGATAACCATTTGATCTTGCTTGTATACATTGCTTCCTTCATCTTCATTTCCTCAGCATATTCGTGTTTGTTCCTGGCACTCTGCCTTTGTAGTCCAACTAACTCCTGTCTATACAGATCCCTAATGTTCTCAGCATCTGCGACTGCAGTCATGAGTTCGGTTACGGCTCGATCTCTTTCCGCCGATATAGCCTGGATCTCTTCCGTGCCGATGTTCACAACTTGACTAACCATCTCTGCGCTGTTGCGATCAGCGTACTCCCCTAACTGGGTGAGACGATCCCGCATTGCCACACGATCAGTGTCAATCTGGTATTGCAAATCGTGTGCTGCTGAGAGCAAACAGTCTCTGGATTCTGTAAGTTGGGAGATTCTTCGTTGATTTCCATATCCTTCGACATAACATTCTTCGAGGTGTGTCATCACTACTTCGTGGACTTCGGTCTCGTGTTGTATAATCTGGTTCTGTCTCTGCTCACATTCGACCATCCATGCGTTTTGGTGGTTCAACATATGCACTTCGGCAAGTAGTTGTGCACACTTCGCATTGAGGTCTCCATCGGCCCGTGCTAGTTGTAGGTTGTCGGTGCTTGCCCTTGCTCCATCTCCAGCTTCGCTGTCCGATGGCACTGGTACAGTTGACCCATCCTCCAATGCTAGCACTCTCACAGCTCCGGTGTCAGTTCTCCTCCTTGTCTCTCTAGGGCTACGGCCCGATCTCGGTGTCCCCCCCGGTGGTGTCGAGTGCGCTGACGGGGAACGACTTCGTGCTCTACCTGTCGCAACTTCTCTCACCACTGTCAGAGTCTCCGCTTCGATCGTACCTGGACTAGAGTTGTGGGATGCACTCACCCGATTTGCGGCCGCAGCGGCTGCTCCAAAGGATGCAGTGCTGGCGTCGGATTGGTCCATCTTCAGTGACTGAGGGTAACTGATCTATCCGATGCGTGTGCGTTTAGATGGTGTTGTGTAAGGCCGTAGCTCGTACCCAGCTCGAAGGAGTCTGGATACGGCTGATAACCTGCGAACGGATGGAAAGCGTGCCCTGGCCCCGTTCAAGCCCTTAGTTCAACATGAAGCTCGCGCGCTAAAGCTCCTTTTTCGCCTGGTTGGGCACTTGAGCCAAATGTGTATGGCAAGTACCTATATAGAAGCTATACTGAGACCTCATCTCTATTGACAAAAAATATGCACATCCCAAGTGGCTAGACATGGCTAAACCAAGATGCTAACTATATATATATATATGGTGTAAATATGCTTAAATGCAAAACCAAAATGAGTTGCAGTCCAGGATTGCTTAGTTTCATCATGTTAACTAATTCAGAGTCCTCCTTGCTTGTGCGAATGGCTCGCCAAACATGACACAACGTTCTCGTTTTCAACACAAGCACATGATCTTCTCCACGTGCTGGATGTCCACTTGGTAATTATTCATGAACTCTTCAATATCAGGGGCCAGTGCAGTCAAGTCCTCACTGAACTGAAACGTCTCGAAACACTAGACAGGTCGAACCCAGAAGTCTTCGCTTGAAGGATCAAAAACAACAACCCCACGAGAGCATCTTGTGCAAACAAAACATCATTAATCCAAGGGTGCTGCAAGCAGTTTGCTGACACCAGAATTGCAAAGGACTGGTGACACAAAATGGTTTAAGAACTTGCACCAGAATGGGAATGGACCAACTGCAGCAAGAAAACTGATGGGCGGAGCTGAGCTGAGCCGACATCATTTTTCTTGTGTTTGGAACATGTGCCGCACACATTCAGTCCTGACTGATATACTTGTCAATCTGGACGCGTGTCGCAGCGGTCCCTCGAATGTTTTTGCTCCACTCAACCGCATCATGCGCAGGGAAAATGATGGTCTTGGCATTCAACCTCGCAGGGTTGTGAGCTCATTCACTGAAACAATCCTTTGAGCGAGAACATGCACCTCCAAAACAACTAGGACCGGGCCCAACCTGAGAAAGGTGGGATCGGGTGTCCACCAATAAAAGACCGCGTCGTAGTCCATTGGCAAGGAAGTGTATGCCTCCCAGCCATTGGCTGTAGCCCACGCCAACGGCATGCCCAGCAAAGTGGCCTGAGCATAAAATACATGGATTTCAGCGCTTCAACCATGGCCATGCTGCTTCAGAAAAAATGGTGCGCTAAGTCAGCAACTACACCGTGCACTCTTCCTGAAATCCCTTCCTCGCCCGTTCTGCCCCGTTCGGCAACCAGCCTTCTGCAGCATTTCGCTGATGCCCCAACCAGTGCCCCCAGTAACGCTAAGAATGCAACTGGATGCATTGCTCCGGCAAGCAGGTGCATACCAAAAATGTTGGTCAAAGCATCGGCCACGGATGCTCTCATTGCCTGCCATCGAGTGGTGCCAAAGGTTGGGTCTTTTGCGGGAACTTGGTGGTGCAGAGTTATACAAACTTGTTCGCGTAATGAGTGCACCCGCTGGATATATCTGGGGATGGGTGAGGGCTCTTGAGCCTTCATGATCCTGCTTTTGGTGTATGAAGACAGTGGAGGTGTAGAGCTCGGGACACGGACCTCGTGGCGACTCCCTCGGACGACTCCGATGGGCATGCTTCGAACCAGTCGAATTGTGGGGATCAACAGCGAAGGTCTCGAGGTCAACCCAGCAAATCCGGGCATCCCGGCGGAAGCCGCCCAGGTGGCATGATTGCCAGGGGAAATCCATGCCAGCAAAGCTTGCTGCGGGCTCAAATTTCGAGAAAAGTTCCCCCTAAATAACCTGCAGTGCCTGTCATAAGAGACCATCCGGTGTTCTCTCGAACAAACAGTCACCGGCGTGAAGTGGGTCCACTTCTGTTGGTCCAATTAATTAGAAAGATTTGGGGCATCTAGCATGTGGATGCATGTTTTGTTTTTTTCCGTTGGACGCTCTTTCGTCTCACAAGAGACGACATGCACTCACAACCAACATCATGCGGCCAAGCATGGAAGCAGTATATTGATAGTGACTTAGTGGATCAATAAAGCCACTCCCATATGAAGATTAGTAAAAACGTTCTGCGGGGGGGGAAGTTGTAATGTAACCAACAGCTTTTTAGCGTGCAAACAACCTCCCGAAACCCGACCCTTAAATGAAAAAAACATGAATGGCGCACAATATACTCAAGCAGTCTGGCAGGTCCAAACGAAGTACAGTATCTGATGAGGTCCGAACTGTTGTCCGTGGTGCAGTAAGGGTCCCCCACAAAGCAACAAAGGCTTTCAAAGCCTCAACATCTGGGGTGGTATTCCATACGTATGGATATACTGATATATTATACTTTACATCATGGTTTGTTGGACTCAACATCTTCTGTCGGCGGCCCCTCCTTGGGAAACACCTTCATGATCGCCAGTGATTTCCAGGTACACCTTAATCACCTCCACATTCATCAAGGAAGTGTCTTCGCAAACCATCAGCTTGGACCTGTTGATCTTTTCAATCCGGGTGAAGAATTGCGCTGGCTGTCTCCACGAAGTGTTGTAGTCCTTGGCTTTCTGCACACAGCTACCTTCATGTTCAAGTTGGAAAAACGTGTTGTGCCCGTTTTCCACCTCCTCTCATCCGTGTGCCTCTCATCCCCCATCGGCTGCCCGGTCACGCTTTCCGGTGAGACGTTCGGAGCGTCGCGCTTGGGGACGTCCTGCTTGGGTGTGCATTGTAAAGGCCTAAAGCGTACAGCCGACACCTGTGGAGCAACGAAACCAGCTGTGGAAAACCCTCAATTCGGTGTTGGGAACGAAGCACACAGCAGCCGGATAGGAACAGCAGAAGGAGCAGCAAAACACAACAAGGGCAAAACACAACAAATGGGTGGCGCACGTAGTGCGGGTCGCATGTGCCATCATGTCCCACTTGTCCGGAAGGATACACGGGTGTGTGTGGAAATAGGGAGGCCCTCGACGAATGGTTTTTGGATGTTTTTGGTGTATATATTTTCCTTGGTCCAGGGGACGAACGGGGAGGGTTTCCCTATTAATATGTTAATAATATATAAAACACACATGTTTTCGGATGCGAGCTCTGCCGAGCTTGTGCCTGCGCTTCGCTGAGTGAAGGCTGATCCTGCTGGTGCAGCAAGGAAGAACAAAAGTGCGAAAAACCCTCAGCACTTTTTCATCCGAAATCTGTGCCATACCATGTGGCATGGAAGCGGTTTTCAGGACGTTTGAGGGGCCCATTGGGGTCGGCTCCGAGTGCATCCGAGTGCCAGTGCGAAAGAACACTGAGGTTCTTTGGGCCTGCAACAGCCTAGAGCAATTTCTCGTTTCAGTGAGGGTTCATCGGTCATTAAACCAAGATTCGCGGTAGAAGTCAAGCGACAAGCCTTCGGCGTTGTAGGCTAACTCCTGCAAGAATCAAGAGTCAAGCATATAGTTGCTCCAGGTCACCAATAACAAACAAATATACTCTTAATGAAACAACGTGCGCTGCTCCTTTTCACAGCGAGTTTGGGCCTGTGTGCATAGCGTGTGATCTACTGTGTACCGGATGACATAGACTGCACTGGATTCTCATGAAAGTTTAACACCGTCCCCATGGCTTCCGGTACACAATGTGCGCAGGGTTTCAGTGTCTTCACGGTGCTATTCACCAGATGTCCACACCCTGGCTGATGGTAACATACACTGGTCTTACCAATGTTCCAGATCTTTCGATCCAAAGTAAATTTAGCTTCCTGGAGGCGGCTTCTCAGTTCATCTTGTCCCTGCCTTTGGCATTCCGTGACCCGCTTCTTCCAAAGCTCAACCATTTCCCATGCCCTGGCTACGTCCTCGGCCATCCTTTCCATTTCTTGAGCTCGTTCATCATCAGTTCCAGCCACCTGGATAGCCTTCTTCTGGGCTTTGTCCTTCTCTTCCTTCACTGCTTCAAGCTCGAAGCGCAGCTCAGAGCACATATTGTACATTCTCACCACTTCACGTGCTTGCCGGTCACGTTCTTCTCGAGCTTCTTTCAATCTCTCTTCTTGCTCGGCCACAGCCACCTCTAGGTGAACTATTTGCCACTGCATGTTCACCTTCTCAGGGTCATTCTCGTAGTGCGGCTCTTCATGCTGGTCGGTGCTTTCCTGCAATCCTCTTCTCACATGCGGGTCATCCGCATCCTCCTCTTCTTCACGTCGTTGCACGGGTTGTCGATGGCCTCGTCTCCTGCTGCACCATGTCTGCACTGTCTGCAAAGTCAGCCGTGCCAAGCTCAAGGCCCCAACACTTGCCAAACAGATCATAGTGATCAGCAGCCGAACCCACCATGTGTCCGTGCCTTCATTCTCTTCTGTCTCATGCTCCTGAGTGTCTGCCCCTTGACCCCCTTGCAGTAGAGACAATGCGATCACCACTGCAACTCTTGCATTCGCTCCGAGGGTCTTCGCTAGCTTGCCGGTGTTCTTCTTCAGGTCCTCTTTCGTCTTTATCTCCTGGTACTCGGCATAGCCAATCTTCTCATCGTCTCCATTGATCATCTTGATGAGGTATTTCAATCCACTCGTCCTTGCTTTACTCAAGACCTTCGTGCCGATGTCGCTGGTGTTGACTGCCGTGGGAATTCCAGTGACTCTCAGCTCTTTGGACCCTACCTTCTGTTGCAACCATAGGAGTCCTGCTGCGATGTGTCGCGTCCTTCCGACACCAACTCGGCCAGCCAAAGAGCGAGCTGCCGATGAGTCACTTCGGCATACCATCTCCAGATCTTCGTTGGTCAGGAACTTCCAGCAATGCTTGATGAACAGTCCTTCACTGCAGCCTCCGACCATTGCCACATATTCACTCTCTCCTGACGACAAGGCAATGGATCGTTGAGTCCTCACATAGCTCTCCAGGAGGCATCCGTCCAAATAGATCTGGACTGAGCTCACACTCTTCCTGCTATCTCTCTGCCCTGCATAGTCAGCATCGCACACCACCTCCAGCATGCTCTTCACCTCATCGTTGATGTCCCACTCGTGGACGTTCTCCTCGGTGTTCAGCATGCTTCGGCCTTTGGGTCCATGCTCGAACAAAAGACCTTCATCCATAGTACCAAGCAGGTACGAGCTGACATGTCTCATGGCCTGCCAGCTCTTCTTTGTAGGCTTCTGCATGAATGCTGCCAGGCCTTGGGCAATGTACTGCACATCAGGTCGATCAGGGGCAATGTAAAGCAACTTGCCAACTGCACTCCGGTAGATGGTGATCTCGCTGTAGTCCAAAGGGTCGTCATCCTTGCTCAGCTTGGTGAAGTTGCCATCTCCGGGTGTCGACCTGCATTTCCTTTGTTCGACCTTAGTCAGTCGTGCAAGCTCCTTGATGTGCTGCTTGTCCGGTCGGATTGTGATGCCTCTGTCGATCAGCTCCATCTCTCTCTTCAGGTAGTTGAAGCTCCCTGAATACAATGGCCCACGTTTCTCCGTTTTCCAGCCTTTGGTGTCCATGTACTTGATGAACTTTTCCACTTCAGCTTCGTGCCCAATCAACAGCAAGTCATCCACGTGGATGGTCAGATAGAGCTTGCCATTCTCGTTCATCTCATTTGGACCATCAGGCTTCTTCATCATCGTGGGCTGCATCACATCCTGGATCAGTCCGAACTCCTTTGCTACCTTGCAGAATCCTTTGAACCACTGGGCTGCAGCATTTCTCTGACCTGGGAGGTTTCTCTTCAGCCTGTAGGCGCCGTTCTCGGTCACGATCATCGCTTTCTCATCTTCAGGCTGGTCCATGAGCAGAAATGCGTCCTTCACATCCAATGTGTAGAGGGCCAGACCAGTCCTCATCTGCAATCGAAGGAGCATTCTTACCACCACTGAAGCTGATGTAGGGGCGAAGGCGTCTTCTGTGAAAACTGACCATTTGAACTGTCTCCCAACCAGGCGTGCTCTTCTAAACCAGCCACCTTGCTCGTCTCGGTGCTTCCAAGTGATGACCATCTTTGACGTCAGGACATATGAATCCTCGTCAGCAACTTCTCCTTCCTTCAGCTTCTCAAGAACACCCATCTTCTCAAGGCGTTCTTCTTCATGCTTGCATGCCTCCGCATCTAGCTTCATCAGCTCCTCCTCATTGACCTCCGGAGGCTTTCCTTTGCTCATCTCGACATCTTCATCATCACTGGCATCATTTAGCTGCTGTTGCAACACCTCTTCAGCCACCATCTCATCTCCGCCAGGAAATTCCTCTTGGACACTTTGGATCCTCCTCTTCGGGCTCATCCTCCGCTTTTCATCATCTTCATCGTCCCAAGGCAGAGCATACTCTCGCTTCGTTCCGAGTGGAGGTGTCACTGGGGCAAGGTTCCCAACAACTTCTTCCATTCTTTGTCTCTTTGGACTTGTCTCCACCTCGTGAGGTCCTGGTGGGAAATTCCTTGCTGGCTCTCCTCTCATGGCCTCTGGAATTGGCAACCTTACCACTTTTCTCTTTGGGCTCTCGTCATCATCTGCTGCCAGTGGGATTCGAGGGAGTTCTCGAGGTACCAATGGTCTGCTGCTCTTGTCACCTGCCGGTGCGTGCCTTGCTGGTGTCTTGGGTGCAGCTGCTGTTGCTGGTGTTGCAGGAACCGGCACAATGGTTGGTGTTCGTGCTGCTGTTGTCCTTGGTGCCGGAGTTGGTGCCATGGGCGTCCTACCTGGAGTCTTCGGGTACCCATCTGGAGGAACACCTGGTGTGTTCGGTCCTGCAATGGGTCCATGGCCGTACATGCCAACAGCCACTTGCTCTCCGATCAGTTTGGCCTCCTTCTCCACCTGCTCATCGCCCACTGCATCCTCTGCCGCATCTGCCAGTCGTTGACGTGCTGCAAACTTTGTCTTCATCAGGATGCCTTGCACAGAGTACTGCCATGGAAGACCTCGGCAGTTGATCAACATTTGGCCGTCGAACTGGTCAGGTAGGCGTCGAATAGATCGGGCCTCAACTGCACCACTCCGTGTCAAGCAGATATGACTGTCACTCCAGGAACTCTTTCCGACCCATACTCCTTTCCTGTACACGGGCTCACCCTTGTGCTTGAAGGCTGTGACGTCCTTGAAGAGCACTGTTTCTCCCCAGAGAGCCACCTTGCCCACATAGCGCCTGTCCGTCAGCACCTCAAAGGACGTAGCACCATTGATCACTCTGTACCTGAGCATCAGCCATGCAGCATGCCGAAAACTCCACGGATAGCAGTGCATATCTCCCGTCACTTTGACTCCAGTCTTCTCCTCAGCAAATTGGCGTAGGGTGTTCGCCAGCCTCCTCACAGATTGCACTGTCCGCTCTGCCTGGCCATTGGATGCGTGCTGATCTCGGGATGTTGTTCTGATCTCCGTGGTCAGGCCAAGTGTAGCTCGTGCATGCTGAATGGCTCTCAAGATCTGACGTGTAGCTCTTTCCCCATCAGACTGGAAAATGATGGGCTGTGTATTGCAGACCTGCATGCTGAATCTGGTGAGCTCTTCCGTCACTTGCTTCAGCGAGGCACTCCCTTTTGCTTGAACTGGGATGCACATGGTGGCTTTGGACTCTGATTCTGCCACATACAAAGCTGTGCCCCACTGTCGGTCCTCAGGAGCACCAGTGGTGTATGTGAACCCGTAGTCAAAGCTGATCACGGGTCTCCCTCGATCCTTCCGGTCAGCCTGATCCTCCTTTGTCCTGGGATCCTCTCTCGATCGAGTAGCGACGCACTGCTGACACCAGGGCTGAAAAGGCAAGTGCGTGAGTTGATGAAGCTCTTGCTCGTGACGGCTTGGCAGCTTTGGTGTTGTCAGCGGAATGGCCTCTCGTCTGCTCTCACTGAACAATCTCTGGGCGACCTCATACGCCATCTTCTCCTCCTGGTGATGCTTGTAGCTTTGGAGTCGTCGCAACACCTTGATCTTGGAACCGGATGTTGCCAAGCCCAACTGCTTGCAAACTTCTTGCAAATCCTTCAACTTTGTCTCCTTGTCAAACCAGGCTTCATCTATTTGGATCCGCAGTTCATCAGGGTCCACAAAGGCCACATCCTCCACAATCTCTGGTCGTCCACCACTTCCAGCGGCCAACATTGGCAGTTCGCCTCCTTCTTCATCCCTCTCATCGTCCGGCCACGAGGATGGCTCCCCGCTCAACAAGGGATACTGGCTCACTGGACCTCAGAGCTGATCACGAAGTAGTCACGGATCAGTCCCGGCGCAACAAAGGTCAAGGCCGCCCGAGGTCCTCCCGGCAATGGTCGGTATGGCAATGGAGTGTCCACATAGTTTGCCAAGCTTTCCACCTGTTCCCATGCTCCACTGTTGTCCTTCTTCTTCAACAACGTCATCCGTCCACACCATTCTGGACCAAAGGCCATGCTCGGGTCCAGAAAGTGAGTTGCTTGAGGACTGGAATGGACAACGATGCCATTGGGCAGAGCATGCCAGCCGGGCATCTTCTCCAGTAGTGCCAGTTCTCTTGAGATGAACCCATACAAGCTTGTTGCTTCTCCTCTAACCGGGAACACGTGACTGTCCTCGATCACATCCGCTACGGGGCTGTCCGACAACTCCATGGGTTCCTCCTTCACTATGCCTTTCCGCAACTTCCAATTCTGCCATCTCGCCATGCGGGCTTGCACCTTTCCATCTTCACTGCTGCTGGCCTCCACAATGACCTCCCCTGACTCCTCTGTGGTGTAGCCTGGTGATCTCTGGTTGTCTTCGACTCCTTCACCTTTCAACTTCTTTGGAGGGGTCTCCTCGACATGATCCGCTGGGGCATCCGGCTCAACCTGTTGAGATAATTCTTGCATCAAGGCCAACATCTGCTGGTCTTCCTCATCATTCATCTCCTCCTTCTCTTTCTTCTCAACACTCCTCTTCACTCCTCTGTCCATGGAGTGGGATTCTGCTGCCACGTTCAGTGCAACCTCTTGGCTGTCCCTGTCATTCGCAGCCATGGCCTCCATCTCCTGTGTCTCATTGTCCTCAGCCCGGACTGCACAAACTCTCACGTCCATGACCAATGAATTTCGCTCAAGCCGCGCTGGGATCATCAGGCCTTTCTCCTTGTGCTCCACGTAAAGGCCTTGACTGTCTCGAGATAGCACCCAGCCTTGCTTGAGCAACCGTCCAAAACTCATCAACGGGTGCGTTACACCCACACCCAGGGCAAACTGTTCCACGAATTCCACCATCTCGCCTGCTCTGGTGTAGGCTTGAAGTCGAAGTCGCCTGTTTCCAGCGCTCTTGATGGCACCTCCTTGAGCATCCATCATGCAAATGGAACGTTGCTGGCCAGGTAGTCCCAGGGCGTAGTACTGCTCTGGCGCCACTGACACATCTGCTCCCGAATCAAGCGTCATCACGACATTGGGAGTCTCGTTCCTCACCATGCACACTTTCTGAATTTGGCCCTTGTCATCTTCGGATTGGGCTCGTAGGGCATCACTTCGTGTATCTTCCATCGATGGAGTACACAATGGCTCACTCTCCTCACTGCTCTGGCAGTCGTAGAAGATCTCCTCCGCCTCATCCGGATTCTTGTCGTACTCCCGGATGGCCATCACTTGCAAGGCTGACTCATCCTCGTCCTCCGCCATCAACTCCTCAGGCGAGTCATCCTCCGTCAGGTCAAAGATCTCCATCGTAGCCAGCCCGGTTGGCGTGACCAATCTCAGACTCCTGACTCCTGCCCGGTAGGTGGAGTGGGAAGATGGAGTGACTGAGGCGCCAAGCGTCTGGCCTTGATCTTTGCCGGGTTGTCCACCTGTTGCCGCCTTGCTCAACTCTGGTGCTTCATGATCTTCTACTTTGTTCACACGTTTTGGGCTCCAGCATTCCCGGGCGAAATGCCCGGGCTTTCCGCAATTGTGGCAAACTCCACTGCCACCTTTGCCCTTCTTGCCATCCTGCTTTCCTGAGCCTTTCGAAGTCTTACCTCCCTTCTTGCCTCCATCTTTGGACCATGAAGTCTTGCCCTTTGAACTCTTTCCTTTGTCTTTGCCCTTCTTTCCTTTCTTGCCACCTTTCTTGCCTCCTTTCGACCACACGGCATCGATCTCCATGGGTCCTCCTTGATCACCTTGATCCATCAAAGGCTTCACACCCATCTGCAGGCCTCCATCGCTCGACCATCGTTGACTCACCTGCTCATACATCTCAATGCGCTGCCTCAAATCCTCAAACGTAGTGTCATCTTGCAGCGTCATCTGTATATGAAGCCTGAGGGTGGCAGGAAGGGCTGACAACACCGAGGCAATCTTTAGGTCGTCCGGGTATGTGACGTTTGCACTGCGCTCATACTCCCTGACCATCAAGTCATACTGTGGCAGCTGCTCGGTCACGGTCTTTGTCCCGTCAAACTGGATCTTGTTCAGGGACTGGATGAGTGCAAGTGAGCGCTGCCTTGTCCTCGGTTGAAGGTCCTTGGTGATCACTCGCCAGGCCTCGAGACCATTCTGGTTGGCCACACCTCTCACCAGTCTAAGGGGTCTCTGTTTCATGAGGCCTGTCAGGAGGGAGTACAATCTTTCTGACTGGGGCCTGACCGAGGGAAGTCCATCGTTGATCGAGTTTTCTTCCTTCTCGGCTTGCTTCATGTGGGACAGCATGGATGGGTCAACAGCTCCTATGAAGGTCTCGAACTGGAATCTCCAATCCATCCATTTGTTGAGCTCGTCACCACGGTTCTCTGGGGCAAACACCGAAGGGGGTTTCAAGTGTTTCGTAAACCCCGTGCTCCTCTGGACATCGATCAAGCCGTGCAAGGCTTGAACCAGCCCCTGCACCCCAGTCAGGGCACCACCATTGGATGCCGCCGCAGCCCCACCAGTGCCGTCGGGCTCGGCTGTGTCCCCCATGAGTGCGACCCGGATACTAGTCCACTCGGGATTTCAGTGGACCGTCAATCCCCGGTGGTTTGTCCCCCAAAAGGGTCTCCGCTGGAGTTGACGGGGGCTGCCCGTCAGAGCTCCGCTACCATGAAACAACGTGCGCTGCTCCTTTTCACAGCGAGTTTGGGCCTGTGTGCATAGCGTGTGATCTACTGTGTACCGGATGACATAGACTGCACTGGATTCTCATGAAAGTTTAACACTTAATGAATCTTAGTGCAACTGCACTGCTATTGCACCGCTATGGAACAAAGCAACACAAACTGGTAGTTCGAATCAAATCAAGGTGTATATAACACGTTTAAACTTCACCAACAGGTGCTGTGTTTTTGGGTCCGGTCTTTGAGTGAATAGACAATGGAAAGTGGCCACCACCACAAAATATCCCTTGATGAATCCTTGGACACTGTATCCATCCATATCCCTTTTGCACATGCAAGACCCATGGCTCGAAAACAGCGCTGTCTTCTCAAGTCTCTCCTGCACGTGTGATGGAATAAAGAGTGACGTGGTTCCAACGTACCCCATGCTGCCCAAGTTCCTGGCCACGACCAGGTTCTCTCGGGTGAGGTGACAAACATGTCGTGAGGAGTTCGCGAGTTCGCGTCACACGTCGCAGGGTCAAGACTGATTAGTCAGCCTTCTTCACCTCGTCAAACACATGAGCAAGTTCCTGCAGAATCGCTGTGGAAAATGACTGTCCTGGGAGCAACTGATGGGTAATCTCGCTGAAGCAACTGCCATTCCTTTGGATAACCTGCAGGACATGAACAACATGGGTTTCCAATTTGAAAGCTGCAAGCCTTTTTGACCCGGAAAGAACGACCGTGTTTTCGCATCTGTAGGGGAAGTACGTAGGAATTAGGCCACATGTCGGAGGACAGCATCCTGCAACCTCCAAAGCACCATGGAAGCACTTGCGGGATCATACCCAACTCCGAGCTTTTTCGTTGCATTCAACTGGGTCCATTTGCCAGGAATCTTTTAGAGGATCTGGCTCCCTCAATTGCCCTAAAACTCTGGACTGGCCCAAAAAATGTGAAATTCTGGAGAGCTGGAAGTTATGCGGGTGTGGTTTTTACGCGTTATTTGTTGTGTTTTTCTATATTGTGTCATGTTTTGAAAGAGTTTTCACGGTTGCGGTCTAGATATGTTCTTGTGCTCCTGTTTCCCAAACAAACCAACTTTTCTTTTTTTAAACAACCTCTGGATCCGACTCTACCCTTCCTTGCCCATAAGCATTCTCATTGTTGCAAAGGTAGCACTTTTTGGGCTTCTCCCTCCACATTCTTTATGAAGTGGAGAGAAGATCATTATCTTAAAGCACAATGTGCCCACCAGGCCCAACAAAAGTTGAGAAACTTGCTTAGTAGTACTGGACCTGGATGACTGATTGGAATTTGTACCCCCCCCAGAGAAGCCCAGGCCCAGGCCCCAGTTGCTGGAGATTGAGAACTCATTGAAATTGGAGGTCTTGGAAACCAGATCTCCCTCATAGAGGTGATGACCTGATGATGTATGATGGGATGTCGTGGACTTGCTGATAGATGATGGTTGATGGACTTCTGTGTGGGAATCATGATAACTAGTATGTTTGAATAGGATTGATGACAAATTTGACAGATTACAAGTCGACATTTTTGCTAGACACGTTCTTCTAAACAACTAACATTTTCAAAAAAGACGCAGAAAACCACAAATCACAAAAACGCGTAAAAACCACACCCGCATAACTTCGTTTTCTGAAAAACAAACTGCTCGAGGCTATGAGACTTTGAGAAAAACTGCTCCCCTTCGCTCATGGTTCGCTCATGAAGGTGGAACGAACCCATATTCGGCCGCCAAAAATCAGGGTCGATTCCTGGGTGTTTCGAGGAGAGACTTCGGCTTTTGCTGGCCTCTTTCTTGGACTCCTCCGGTCCACCCTCTATTTGGTCTTCGGAAGATGGTCTTCCGAACTCGGGGCCTTCTGCATGGTCAGTTTCGAGGAGCGTGATGACTAGTGTTCCAAACCACCCAAGTCAAAGCTCCTCTTTGATCCCATCACCTCCCCCCCACGGCACCTGCAGTCCATCCTTCTACACTGATATGTGCACGCGTGGTCCTCTCTTCGCTGCATCCACGATCTGAGTAGTCGGTGGGTCTGGCACAACCGGCCAAGGCGAAGAACGCGTGAGAAGCCAATGAACCGTTGACCATCTTCTGCACCACATAGCCCATCTTCTCCTGATGCAAGGATGCGGGACCCTGAAGCCAAAACTTCTCGCGAATTGGCACACGAGCTAGACAGGCCATCTTTCTTTCAGGAGCATCTATGGAGCATCTCAGCATCTGCGACACCTCCTTCAAACATCTTTAAACCAACTTGGTGTACGAATAGGGGGGACCAAACTGGTCTATTTCCAGGAATTCGGGAGGGTGTCTACCTGTTTGAACTATACACACTCAACTGGGATCAGAATGACACTCCTCCACGGGAAAGACCAGCGCCGCTTGGCCACCGCCACGAGCCCGGGTTTTTAACACGTGCGCGTGGCCACGAGACCGGGTGGTTTGGGGTGTTGCAGCAAGATCCAGTTGAGGACCCGAAGAGTGAAGGATTGAAAAAGGGAATGCCTTTGGTGCCTGTGACACCTGGGAGGCCAAGCGTCTTTTTCTGCCGTTCCACGGGCCGGATCAAGCTGCTTTCACGAATCAGCGGCGCTTAAGCGGCGCTTCAGCGCCCCCTTTGCTCGAGAACTAAAGCAAACAAACCTCAGAAAAAGTTGCTCATCCTTAAGGTTTGATTGTGAAGGAGGAATAAAATTGGCAACTGCCTGCAGCACTTGCATCCTTCAGGCTCACAATAGAAAACCCTTCCAAATGAATACGCCATCTGTTGCTTGGGGTATGCCCGAAAAGTGTTGTAGCTGTCCAGCCATCCGGTTTTGATTACCCTACCGACCCTACCTCTGATGGTTGGGAAACATAATCAAACATCTTGCAGGGCTTGCAGGCCAAACAAGCCTCTTTGTTGAATACTTCCGTGTTTTTAAGTCGATATAATTCATATATGTTATTTTTTGCACAAGTGTCCCTCCAAGACCTGAGCACGCAAAAACATAGAGCACATGATTTTGGGGGGCGCACCTGGGAAAAACCAGCAGTGTTCAGGGCGGTACAAAACACACCTCCAAGAACGTTGGAGGACCGTTTTCCTTCCCAAAACGTTTTGGGTTCCGAGTTCAGAACAACACCTTCGACCCGGTCTCCTGCAGCAAAATGTTTACCAACTCTGCTGTGGCGTGTTGTGCCGCATAGTCAAGGACAAAGAGGCCAACCGGATAGACTTGTCCATCATTGACCAGTTCGCGTCGCCTGGAGTGTAAGATCTTTCAAAACGCATAGATCTTGTAAAATTCCAGTGTCATAGATTTCTACAGACTCGGGGCACAAGCAGTGTGTTGAACAACAAGTCAGGAAATTGTAAACTAAACGAAGCTCTGCACATGTTCGCACAATTGCGCACAATTGACTTCTGGGTGCAACAAGGTATGACAGTGAGGCCATTCTATGACAGGACAATGCCGAATGGAGGACCTATCACTTGAAAGTAAAAACAACGAAAACATACGAAAACCAATGATCCCTAAATGATCTACATGCCAAGGATCCTTGGCTTAGACTTCAACTCTAGACTGTCCAGTCAAGCTCCGTGGATCCCTGGATCTTCGGTCGAGGCAGCTTCGGCAGTTCGTCGGTTTGCGTCGACTCCATGGTCTTGGGAGGGTAACAAAAACGCTCAACAAGGAAGACCATGGACACGGCTGGTCCAAGGAACGAAGGACAGCGAGGACACAGCAGCTGTCTTTCTCTCCGGTGACCTGTACAAATCAACCTACTGCGGCAGTCGCATACTTTGGTCCAGCGTGGTTTCTGAAACATGTCTATTAATCTACACCCGTACTGAGAAAAAGGGCACACACCACAAGCTTCATCTTTTGCCCTTGTTTTTGGCATGCCAAACATTGACATGGGGCATGGCGACACATATGGTTCTTTACCCGAGGCAAATCCTACAGAGTCAACAGTCGAATCTGCAATCACCAAGTTGCCCAAACTCAGGGATACCATCCGCAAAGCACTGCTTGGCTGGAACTAGTCGCAGCCAGGAAAACAGCAGCACCAGCATGAATATTATGTTTTGGTGGGCCACACAGCCACGACTCTGCTAAAACAGCACCCACGGTACCAACATCATAATGTTGGAACCGCCATGGAATTGCAAGCCTAAACAGCTGCGATGGCCATGCAAGTGACATTCAAATGAATGCCTATGCCCAGCTCTACTTTTGCAGGACAGCCTGCGACTCCAGCTGAGCGAAACACTGCCACCACTTCAATGCCTGATCAACACGTGGCTTAAATTGATTCAAATCATCAACAACAACTTCCCTTAACCTGCCATCACCTGGGTACACTCCACAGTCACGCAGCCGCAGCCCCAGCCCCACCTCAACGCTATTCCTTTCGGTCCGTGGCGGTTTGAACCCCAACGGCTCTTGGACAAGAGCTGGGCAGCCCGATGCCTGGCAGTTGCTCCCACTCCAGACCTGCAAGACTCCAAGAAGTCTAAAAGATATCCAAAATGAACCATATCAACCATATCATGCAGGACTAAGTTAATCCGCCAGAGATGTTTGCCTAACTTAGTTCGGGATGTTTGAAGTTCCTTGGCACCACGAAGAGGCAAAGAACAGTGGGGATGTTAGACTTCCAGCAAGCATGGCGCCCGTTTTGCCAAGACTGAGCGGAAAAAAACACATTTCGGACATGAAAAAAACAAGAACAAAGAACTGTGAGGTACCTGCGCCACCGGCACCTCCGTCAGCGATGGGGCTAAGGCAAACACAGTGGCTTCGAAAGGTCCACTCGATCTGTTTGGCAAGGGGCTCAATCACCCAAACGGTCGCAAAGAATAGACACATCAACATCGACGTGAATTCAAGTTACAAAAACACCTGTTGCCATATTTTGCCTTCACGGTACTGTCGTTCGTCGTTCCTTCAAACCCGGAGCCGTCATGATCACTCTCGGATGGTGTGAACCTCCCCCAAAAATATGCCACGTCCTGCGCCACAAGTCCGGTGCCTCGTCCGGACTTCCCTCCTTTTGGAAGCTAAGCTTTGCGGCCAGCAAATACAATGACTACTCCGCGTCCGCGCCCCGCGGGCCGTTCACGCTGCCACGCCGTTGCTGCTTCGATGTGAGAGTACGCTAGTGCCACACAGTTGCCAAGAGCGAGACCCAAGAGCTGGGGCTGTGCCACCATCAAGTTTCAGAAAGAAATGGGTCTGTTTCTCCTGCGGGCTCTGTTTCGAGCTGTGTCACAATGAACAATTGAGACGAAAGGACTGGCCCGGCCAAGAACAGCCGCAACATACCATGTCCAAACCTGCATGTAACGTAGACATGTAGGGTACGCATGCTATACATCATCATACATCCTGAATGTGAAGAAGTGTGCTATGCGTATTATTTACATTATTGTATAATATTGCAATATATTGCATGTCTGTGATTGTGTGCATATAGAACGCCGTACAATTAGCATGTTTCATCGATGTGGGCATAGTCTTTTATGATAGACACTGCGCAACTTCGAGTGCACTTCCAACTTCGAACCCTCCGGCAGCTGCAGCACATTCACTGAGATCACTGAGAAGGAACAAGAAACCGATCTCCTCGACCCCGTCGTTTTCGGCCAAGGTCTTCAGGCTGAAACTTGGAGGCGCTCTGCGGACGGGGCGCTCCGAAAAATCAGTGTGCCACCTCAGGAGCGTTGGCGCTCACACGTTTCTTTCCCAATGGCACGATAAAGGGAACCACGCGGATTTTTCGGATCAAAAGAATGGCTACTGAGGCACAACAAACTTCAGAGGGATGGCGCATCTCCAAAAACATTGAAAAAATCCGGACCGTCCGCATTTATCGCATTTTTCACCCATGTTCCCCAGGCCTTTGATCCTCTTCAAGAACCAAAAAGAGGGTCAAGCTGGTTCCCTCGGCAAGATTCCGGCCAGAAATGGCTAGAAGATCCGCTGGGCATGTTTGGATGGCTGCAGCTGGTGGAAATCATTTCATAACCCACAGAATATGCTGTCTATCCATTAAATTGTATTAAATTGTCCCATCTCCATCCCGAATTCAGTGCTTCCCAAAGAAGCCTCCGTTCCTCACCCTTGCCCCTCTGTGAGCTGCTTGCTGCTTCGGCTCGACTGGGTGGCTCCACCCGGTGACATGCTTCGACCGCCGGTCCGCACACACGTTGTCCGACGAACGTCGAGGTTTGCCCGGATGAAAACCACGAAGAGGTGGCGCCGGTGTATGTGTGGTTCTTAACGGAGGTTCAACGAGATCACTCGAGTGGTTCTTTGTTCGAAACATTGGGCCCCGAAAACGGGTCGTGACATCAGGACTCTCATCTTGTCAGCCAACCATTGGAAGCCACACACCCGTCAAGAGTTGCTGCATGTCGCAGTCGCATCGCGTTTTGCTTGGATGCTGTGAGATCTGTGAGCATTGGAGGGAATTCTGCTCTCCTAACATCTCCTATACCACATCTAGCCACACCGGCAACCTGCGCATGTTCGCACCTCGTTCCTCGCGGTGGGTCTGCAGGACAGCTCGTCGCACTGGGCGGACAGGCTCATTGAAGGCCTCTTGGACCTAGGTTGGACGGAGAATCATGTAGGCTGTTGATGAATCAACCCCCCATCAAACAGGATCATATATATAGGTTCTACAATCCAAATGGGGGGGTTGATCAATCAACTGTCTACATCATATACCAGACAAATCAAAGGGGCGTCTAAATGAGTTTTGATGTTCATCTATCTGTCGGGGGCGTCCAATGAGCACCCCTTAAAACCAAGAATGACGGACCCACAAAAAAATAAGGTTCCCAATGCGAAAACGCCTCCAACCAGTCCACCCTGGGTCTCGATCGATCCGTCACGATCCGCCACGCGCCCTGGTGCCGCGGCCAACCTCGACATCTGGACCCATTCGTAGTTCAGGACCCAAAGGAAAATCCCGATGTAAGATTTCCAAGTAACACATCCCCGATGCAAGAGAACCAAGTAACAATCCCGATCTAAGAAAACAAAGTGAAAAAAACCCGATGGGCTGAACCACGAAAATCGAGATCGGGCGACATGGAATGACACGGTGTGGGCTTACATCGGGTTTTCCTAAGGGGTGTCCAATGAGCACCCCTTGGTTTCCTCGGATTTCGGCCACTGACACGGAATGACACGGATTGACATGCAGGCGGCTGACGTTTTTTTCACTTTGTTTTCTTAGATCGGGATTGTTACTTGGTTCTCTTACATCGGGGATGTGTTACTTGGAAATCTTACATCGGGATTTTCCTTTGGGTCTTGCCTCAGGGCACGTCGGCGATCGACTCGAATCGACCCGAATCGTACCGGTGATCGACCCTTGGTTGGTACATTCCCCAAAAAAGATTCATACCTTTACCCCATGTATCACCCTAATGTATAACTTTCCTGGATGGTCTGGGTATGAACGACAGGACCGGTGTGGGAGCTTGCCCACCCACAAGGCAGAACCTTCATCGGTGGAGCCTGCCCTGCATCAAGAGTGCTCCTGGAAGGACCCAGGGTTCGACCCACCTACAGAGGTTAAGAACTAGGACCCGTCACCAGGGGTACCTATATGATAGTCGAACTAGGGTTCTTCAACCTCTGCTGACAGGTGGCTTCCAATGTGGGAGGCCAAGAAGCAGTGGAAAAAAACCGTGGAAGAATGAGCCACGGCGGGCTTCACAAGTGCTCGGTCTCGACCGCTTCTTGGGCAAGGCACTATGGAGACCACAGATTTCCAGGAGCTGGAGCCAGGGTCTAAGACCTGGAGGAGCCAGGGTCCGAGCTTCAAACGAGTTTACCATATGTAGTCTCGGAAGGAAACATGCATGGTACCTTGCAATGCCGCGCCTGGTTTTGAACCTCATCACTGTCTCATACCTCAGGCAAATAGCAGTTCCCTGAACTGGAAACGCAGCCCACAGGGCACCTCCACCCTGCCCATCGACGCGCCATTGCAGCCCACCCGGAAAAGACCAACGCGCGTTCGCCCGTGCCTCATAGTGGCCTTCGTCCACAAGGTGGAGTTGACAAGGGATGCCAGCACATGTAGCCGAAACCTTGCCAAAAGCCCATAGCTTCATCGAAAAAGTGACCCGGGCTTCCACCGCCCCGGGCCCACCCCACACGTCGCGTGCGACGTCGCCGTGCCCTGAAAACCCCTGTCTGATCTCCGGACGGTGCTATCCAACAGGTCACAGACCGGTGCTCCGTTCCATAAAGGGAAAGGGCGCCGATTTCAAACAAGGAAGCTTGGCTCGGCCCAAACCGTCCATGCGCTTGGCTGGAGGCCCACCCTCCGGTGCATGGTGTTTCCCCATGGTTAGCTGTTTGGTTCCACGTTTCGAACACGCCCGAATTCGATGCGAACATCGTCGGCACTGAACGTGTATGCAAGAAATGACTCACGAGACCGAAGGATCAATACCTGTGCCTTTGCCAGTCAATAATAAGGATGATCCCAGCCACGTTGGGTGTGTATATACACTGCCAGCTTCTTCAAAGTGACCTTTTGATATTTTATGTTTCTATAGAGGTCACTTAGGTAAAAAGGAAAAAAAGGTCACTTAGAAGAAGCTGGTGGAAGATCCTTCAATATCAAAAGGTACATTTCGATATCAAAAGGTTCATTTCGATATTAAATGGTTCACTTAGAACATGGTGCAAGAGTTGATGGGGTTCTTCACCACTCCCACCCGATCCACGCCTTCTTTCCCATCTCCCAAGAGCTGCTGGCGAACTATGCCATCTTTGTGGCCAAGGCCGGAGTTGGCACCGCAGGGTGAAGGGGAACATGACATTTGTGTTTTAGGAACATGCACCATACAGACATGTCACATCTTCCGGTACCATCTCACACAAACATAAGAGGCCCATCGCCTCAAAACCTGTCTTCCCAAATGTTTTGGGTGTGCAAGCATGGCAAATTGTTTTGCCTTGCCAACCTTGGTCAATGCTGAACCACAACACATTCGATCATGGCAGTCTCATATGCACATGCTGCACATGCATATATGCGAGCCAAAGGGCAAAATCTTCGTCGCCGTATGTTGCCACCCACAGTGGCGAAATCAAAGCACATTGGTCTAAAGATATGTGGTCTAGCCTGGGTGAGTGTGCACAGTGTGCATGCACATGCTTGCGTGTGTGCTCCACAGAGCTTGCCAAGATGCTTATGCCATTTTGGGCGGATTTTCCAGCGCAGGATTCGTTTGGAAATGGATTCTGCCGCCAACCCTCAGCTGAGATATGCCCAGCAAGGAGAAGGCAACATAAGGCAACCAACACCTCCCAACAACATCATGTTTGCATGACGAGGTGCAATTCAGCGAAACGTGTAGCAAGTAGTTTGCGCTTTGGAATCGTTGGATGGCTTCCTGTGGCAAGAACATGCCGTGGGTCATCGAAGTAGCACTGCGCATCGCCACGCAGTTCACGAACACTGCAGCACGAATCCTGGGCTAACTGCATCGTGCTACAAACAGGTTGTAAGACTTGAAGACTCGTTCAAAGAACAAAATCACCCAACTAGCTAGGACAAGCACTGAGCATGCTCATCTTGTGGGTTCGCCTTTGCGACAGCGATGCACACACCCATGAGCCAACGGGCCAGGATGACGCATTCCTGCAAAGAAATGCATATACATCGATATATCCCGGGACAGCATGCGCATATATCGCACGAACAAGCTGAGGTAGGGTCAGAGGCATTGAAGTGCTTCTGAGCAAGTGAAGGGAAGGTGTGTCGACCAACCAAATGTTTCCTCAAATGGGGCAACACAGATCAGGCAAGCGCGCATATATTCCTTCACATGTTGCACATCAGCCTGCAAGACAAGTTGCACAGCGAAAACGCGGCCCCGATTTCCTAAGTTCTTGCATGTTGTCGCTGACACACGCATGCTCCAAGCTGCAGTTACTTTAATCCAAACGTCGGACTTTGTGCTGCTTGCAAAGCCTGCTGAACTCCACATGTGCATAGCGCAAACGCTCATCGGGAGTACTTCCCGGCCATACAGCATTTGTCTCGCTCAATTCTATGAGTGCCTTAGGGACACTGACAGTTTTCCCTTTATACCTATCAATTGGGCGTGCATGCACACATGCATAGTACTGCAAAGGCACATTGGCTGCTGCATCAGCCACAATTGTCAGGTCGAACACGTGGAGAAAATCAAAGAAGATCATGCTAGGATCAAACCCTGGCATTTGGATCCAGCAATTTGGCGCACACGTGTCAGCAACAAATTCCTCCAATCCAATCATGGTCTCTCTGTGTGGTGCTCCTCGTCCATGGTAAGTGTAAAGGTTCTCAGACCCTGCAGTTCTGGAGGCCTTACACCGCCAACACACCTGATGCGACAGCCATGTCACCCGCATGTGGTATGCTTTGGCCATATACTTTTCGTCTCCACGATGAAAAGTCAGAATGCCACGGTACACATCAGCAATCTCACCAGTCATGTTAGATCGCCTCTCAACATCTTGTGACCAGGGCCCTTTGTGACTCCAACGTCCATCCAAAAGTTCACAAAACGACCACATCAGCCAACTATCTAGCTGATCCAGGGTTGAATCACAGGAGCGGTTCCCATCCATGCAGTACAGCATGTAGAGACTTTCAAATGGAGAGCAATGACCTATGGTCACGGAGGCAAATGAAACCACAGTGAAGCTGCGTCGACGATGGCACTCTGCATCATCTCCATGGAGAATGAGTGGTACACACTTTGATAGGTCTGTTTCCTCAGGCGCACGTATGTATACCAGGCTCTTATGCATGTGCGTGCATGTGACATCCATGGTGCACACGTGCAAGTCGGCAACTAAGGCTCAGGGTTTGAGAGGACAGGGTGTCTTCGAAACCACTCCGTGTCGCGCATGCGGTCCCAAAACTTTTCGATGTCCTAGGTACAATCAGGTCAATATGATACAACCCAGCGGGAACTGCTCTATAGCTTTTGCAAATTCAGCACTATAGGACGAGAAACCCCTGGTTCCCCAAGGAATCGTTGCTGGAACAGCTTCTCGTCGAAGTGATATATAGATGCAAACCTCCAACAGCTAGTAAGACCCCATGATATTAAGCTCGAGCTGAAACACACATGCATTTGTTAACCAAGCCACACTTCTGAAGGAAGAAACATGTGCCAGGTGTCAAGGTAGAACTGCTCTTCCAAGGACACATCTTGAAGCACCACTTCAACCCTTGGTTGATCACGTGCATTATGTTTCAATCATGGACTAGGCATGACTAGGCTAGTGCAGGAAAAAAACGGGAACGGTGTTGGGAGCATTCCTCTCCAATGCTGTTTATCAATCCATGACCAAAAGTTCCGTGGTCCATTCCGGTCATCTTTGCGCAATGTTAGAAGATCTCGAAGGTTGGGCCTCAAGGTTGCCAGACTTAAACTCCAAATGGTCTAATGTGCGCATACATGCATCGATATGTCCAAGGCACGGGAGAAGCCGGTTAGGAAACCGATTTTTGATAGCTGACAACATCCCCATCAAAGTAGATACAGAAACCTAGGCGTCATGCACCCTGGTTTGTGCCCACACCTACATGCTTTACATTTCTCAAGATAGCTGTGTTGCAACCAAAGGGGCCCGCCGACCAAGCTCAAGGAATTCTTCAACAATGTCCATGGGCCCAAACTTGCGCTAGCAAGTGTGCAGGTGTTGCGCTACCATCTATAATTGGATCGAAGACTCAGTCCCACATATGCATATGTTTGAAGTCCCTTTCTATGGTGCCTACATGGTATATGTACACGGTGTCCTTTCATCAATGCCCCAAAAAAAATGTGCATTGATGGGGCGATGAGGTGACATACATTTTGTTATAGCCACTCAAAACCCCTTGAGCGGCACCCCTTGAAACATCACGTGCATTCAAATGCAACATCACAAGCACAGCAGGTGCTTGAGATCAACGCGAAAAAAGCCTACACCGATGCTAGCTGCTACAAGGCTGGCTGGGACAGAGGCATTGTTCTTTCATGGTCTCATCATCCACGAAAGCTAGTTCTCGGCAATTCCGAGCCCCAAGTTTCTTTAAGGCACGATCGGTTGTTGATCGTGATCCCCACGCAAAAGCTTTTGGTGCCCATCACTCCAGCACCATGCCACTGAAGTGCCAATTGCTATATATCACAGGGTGGATTGTTGAACCAACAAGTATGTACATCAAAGATCATATCGATCAAAGGCACCTCATCTAAGGCAAGTGCAGTGCACGTGTATGGGCTTCCCATGTTATAGGCACCGCAAGCGCTCAAAAAGCACCGAGGGTAGCTCAAGAACATGGTTCGGACATGGTTGCAACGGTTGGAAGTTGGAAGACATGATGGTTGGAAGTTGGAATGACATGAAAGGATCGATCTACATGATATGTTAGTTGTCAGATGTTGCCTATAGTGTTTTGTTGATCAACCATATGAAGAAGCTGCACCAGTAAGACCTTAGTCCTCCCCATCTTCCACACTCGAGCTACCTTCATCTACATTATCCTCATCTGCCGGCTTAGACTTCTTGGGTTTCTTGACAGCTGTCAATCGACGCTTCGCATCGCGGACGTCTGCCTCAACCACCGCCAAGACAGCCTTGGCATTCTCAACCCATTCATAGAGCGCTTCGGCGTCTACGTCAGACAAAGGAAGAGCAGCTTTCGAAGCGGCTTCAGCAGCATGGTCAGACGCGTTCAACTTATGCCTCTCTAGAGCCCGTGCCTGGGTTCAGATAAGAGCTGTACTGCACATGTCATGCATGCATAGCGTGCACGTATATCATGAACGCCAAGATACCAACTCCGTGGAGTTCCTGATGTCATGGGTGTTGAAATCTTCCAAGCATTCCGGGATAGCCTTGATGATCTTCTTCCACCTTAGATAAGTGATAGTTAGGTCACAACCCCTTCTTCCACGCATGCCCTTAGAACCAACACACACATGAAACACTAGGTCAACCTGCAGAGTCTAGGCAGGCCACTTAGCGGAAAGGCTTTTGGCTTCAGTCAGGGCAAGCTGAGCTGGGGTCTTCTCTTTCTTGGTTTTCTTAT